TCACGCAATTAGTTACTGACTGGAAGCCTCAGCAAATAGCAAAAGGCTGAATGTGCTAAAGATAGAAGAGTAAATTAGCGTGTTACACGTTCTTCATCCTTTCAACAATTACATTTCTTTGAGGCAGCCTTAAAAGTTTGAACTACTATGGTCTAAGCAGTATTTATTCTGCAAATAAAGTGCGAACATCTCTCCGGCCAGCCCTAACCTGTATTTTGGAAAATGGGTGGAGAAATGTGAATGTATTTTATTGCATTTGCAGTTGTATACTAGTACAGACCCAAATTAGATCCCACTGGGCTTGGCAATGGGTAATTGATTATTTACCTTGACAATCAGGATGTAAAAATAAAAAAGCAAATGGTCAACACAAATGGATTCAGTAATGGTAAATTTTGTGCAGTCTGATTTTATTTTTAAAATACTAACTTTTAGATTAGATAATACCTAGTCATCTAACTGTGAATGAATATAGGTCTTTCACAGTGAGCTTCCTTCAGTTAATAACAAAAGCAGTACTTCCAAATACATACATGTAGGTTCTGGTTGTCATTTTGTACTCTGAAACACGTTATGTATGTGTTTTTTAAAAAACAATTACAGGTGTTGCATACATGGTAGTATTTATATTAAAAAACAGATTTTAGGAAATAGTAGTTCTAAAAATACCAGCCACTATGAACTAAATCCTTGGGAAGTTAACGGTGGTGCTGCTGTGGCGTTTTCTCCTCTGCCAGCCTGTCCCTCATCAGCTGGTGCAGCCAGCCAGTGGTGTGTAGCCTTTCTCTTCAGGTCTGTCTTCCAAAAAAAGTTCCAAAAAACCACTGGAGAGCAGCGCAGGGGCAGTGGGTAGAGGAGAGGGCAAGAGGATCTACCTCACCAAGGACAGAGCTGGAGGCAGTGAATAAGGGAACATTAGATTTTATCCTTGAGAAAATACATTTTTTTGCTTGAAAAATAACCATTGAAAAAGGAGATGGAGTTGGGATATAGAAATAGATGGCAGAAAAAGCCATGCTGATCCTTAAGTACCATGTACTAACCCTTCTTCCTTAGGAGCTTGATCAAAACCAAGAAACACTGAAAAGATTAAAGTAAAACTAGGACACTTTTTTTGGCTTGTGTTGTATGTTGCCAGACAAATACAAGTAGTCTTAAGTTGCTAGATTAATAAAATCACTTACTTTGCATAATCATAAATGAAACATCTTTTAGTAAGTCTATTAAATAAAGGGCGAAGTGCAATGTAATTTATGGTTTAAATTTTGCCCTTCAATGTTTGTGAAGCTTATTACAGGGAAGCACGTCACAAATTCTGGGAAGAAATTTGACCCTGTTATTATGAATTCGTCTTGTACAAAGCTGATACAGTAGTGACTTTAAATTTGATGCTGTAATAGGAAATTTAAGTGACTCAGCAAAACAGTTGGAATTTCTCATTATCACAGGCAGAGGAAGGCACGGTCAGATGTGTTTTACTACAAGAGTGTGTCTAAGCATAGCTAGTCAGACCCTTTGTATAGTCTTCAAGGATGGAAGGGAGATGCTCATATATAGCAGTTTTACCCTAGAATGGCAATATGTCTAAGCTCACTCTGTAGGTGGTGGGTTTGTGGTGGAGACGTTTCTATATGTTAGCCTCCATGAGGGTAATGCCTACCTCTTGAATTAAAGCAATCAGAATAGGAATACAGGCAGCATTAGAAATTGAAGGATAATCTACTGTAAAGATCTATAGTTCACTTTGTTTGTCTTTAAGGACAAAAATACAGTATTAATCTCAATCCTTTAATGCTTGTCCGCACCTAATCTCTGCCTGTTCCTGTGTCTGTAATAGGAAACCCAAGAAATGTCACAGAAATGTGTGGCAGTGGGTGCTGGAGGCAGCATGTGGCCTCTCTGCTGAGGGGCTTTCCCCATCCCTCTGGCATCACTGAGCCAGGGCTGCCAGGATGGTTACTTGGGAGCGATGAGCCAAGAAATGCAAACAAATTCCTGCATGAGAGATAGCCGCATTTCCCTCTGGCTCTGGGAGCTTCATAAAAACTCCACTGAGAGAGACTCAGTAAGCATTGGCCAATCATGCTTTTTCTTTATTTTTAACAAATCCTGCCAATCTCCAACCTCCTAGCTGCATTGGTACCAAGGTTTCTGAATTCTCAGATATCAATATCAAACCACTTGTGTGGATTTAACAAATATATGACACTGACTTGAAGTCCAGGTGTGGTCAGCAGCTCTTCATGTATCTGATATTGATGTAGAAACTATTTTGTTCTTTGAGTCATAACACATGCAAATAAAGACTATAGCTTTTTTTCTTAACAAAATACTTTATTTTTCAATGTCTTTGGTTATTGGCAGTGCATGTAGTCTAATTGATAAGTACTCGTTGTGCTCCATCTTTTGATGTCACCTGGTGACAGGTGCCCCCGCTGAGGAAGTTGCTCTAGTAAACAATTAAGTGGGATTACTGTGCACTTACCTGATGGTATATACAATTACTGGGGTCAGTCTAGGGCAGTTCTGCTGAGTAATAGTTGTCAATGGGCTTTTGGGTGACAAGGGGCAGGGAGACATGCTAAGCAGACAGAGAGCATTCACAGCCCCATCAGCTACGTCTAGGAATTGTCTTTGGCGTAGTAACTCAAGGCAGATGTGCAAATCACTTTTTACCTGGAAGGCACACGAATTTTTGCCCTGCCTGCTTACAACTTTTCATTCTGAGCTTTTAAAAATTATTTTTGGTCTTGTTCTTGAATAACTAAAAGGTGATGGCTTTTGTCAGTGGCAAAGCCATGGATAATTTTTGTTTAGTTTGCACAAAAAAAGGATTTATACTATCTCCTGGGGTTTCGCGCTTTTTTTTTTTTAAAGTTTCTGCTCATCTTACTGAAGGCTTTACTTGAGTAAGTACAAGAGAAAAAAAAGTGCAGGCAGCTGTGCTGTGTGCTAGAACCAAGATTCATTTCTTCTTTTCGACTCAGTGACCCAAGAATAAAAGGAGTTTGCTAGGGGTGGGAGGTGTAGACTGAGAACTCTGTTTTTTAGTGAGAGTTGAGTCCTTTTCATCATATTCTAAGAGGTGCTGAGGGACCTGAAAAGTTACTATCAAAAAAGGATGACGTAAAAATGGGAGATGTCTTTTTTGGACTTTACAGTGGAGGAGAAATTTAAAATACAATCTTTTACTTTACTTCAACTAGAAACAGGGCAGCATTAAACTCCGTAATTTGTGAACACAAAAGACTTCTGTCTAAACAACCCTACAGTTATTATAAGTGCTTTTAAAGGTTGCAAGATTGTGCTGTACTGAGAAAAGGCTGTGAGGAGGTGGCAGTAGGGTACGTACCTGTCCCTGGGAGTGTGCCAAGTCAGCGTGTCTTACCACAGGGCTTGGAGGTGTTCAGAGCAAGGACATGCTGCCTCCTGATTTTAGTTAAGTGTTATTTCAGAGCATTGTTATTTCCATAATCAGTCATTTCTCTGGTCAGCTGTTTTTTAACTGAATAGCTTGCAGAAAGACTGGGTGAAAATCGTGTGCGCGAGACGTAATTAGGCTTAACTTTCCGCAAACCCATTTTTTGTGAAATCCTTTCAGCCTGGGCAGGATACTGCCCTACATTGAAAGTTGTACAGACACAAGGGTCTGGTCTGCCATGTGTGCCATTAAAGTTTTTCTGCAAAACTTGTTTGTATTCTCTTGTTTTTAATTGATCTTGCTCAGTAGAGAGAGGAGTGGGGGTGCTCTGTTAGGGCTCTCGGAGGCCGGGGTGTTGCAGGAGTATAAAGACTCGGAAAACAGGAGAGAGGAGAGGCAGCGCATGGTGCAGTACAGGACATACTTGTCTTAGGCCTCCTGCAGATGAGTCTGTGTTTCCTAATGCTTCCATTAAAAATTCTCTTGTGCCTTAGAATGGGAACGACATGAAAATGATTTATTTAACATCTGGTGTGAAAGGGTGCTTTTTACTGCCTACCGCTGTGCTCCTTGGGGAAAAGGAAAGGCTTTCAGAGCTGCTCCTGTGGCTCTTGTGTTTCACACCAAGAAAAAAAGCTGTGAATCCCCTAAGTAAACGAAGAGCGATGACATTTAAAAGGGAGTTTTGATGTTTTAAAACAGTGTAACCCAGCATAACAAATCCATATTTCATTAAAGGCTCTATTTCAACGCAGATAAGCATCTTCTAAGGGCGGTGTCAGTTTTGCTTGTTTCTTCAGGGTGTGTCTCTACAGATTGTCTAGTATGGTAACGTAAGTGGAGCTAATAAATACATCAAGGGTGCCAGTCTGCCCTCTGTATCCGTCTCCTGCTTTTCTTTGTCCTGTCTGAAAGGCAACCTGTTACTTCCAGACTCGGTTTCACCCTCTACCCTTGCGGTGTGCGTGCCATCTGAATGAAACGAGTGCCAAGATGTGAGCGTGGTTTGGTCCCTCGTGGAAGGGAACACCAGGGCTGGGGGCACCTGTTGAAAAACAGGTTCTCCAGGGTTTATTATTCCCTTATTCAACATCAGCATATTATAGAAAAGTGTACTTTGAGAAATAAAGATTCAAATATAATACATTTATTAGCCTATTATTTTGTAAATATGGTATTTTACCCTTAATTTACTAAATCTTGATCTAGAGGCTTTAGTATCTAAGTCAATATATGCGCTTAAGGCAACAGAATACATTGAAGTAAGAGGCTAAGTATGGGTGTCCAAACTAGAATATAGGAAAGCAACTTTACCTACTGATACCTAAATTTTGGCCCTAGTGCATGTGAAAAATAAAAAAAAAAAATAAATTAAGACCTGGTAATTTTGAAAAAGCTAAGCAAAGTACATGATTTTTGTATACTTAATTGTATTTTTGCAACATTATGTGGTGTTACAATGTAATTAGTTTAGGCAGCCAAAGTACAAACTGCAATGCTATAGTACTGTATAAAGAATATATTCCTGCTATTCTAAAATAGTTTCTTAAGTGATTTGTTTTTTTCTGCTTCCCTATAGATTAAAGCAAAAAATTATGACAAAGTGGAAAAGGTGAGTCCTATCAATGTATGTAATATATCTCTATAGCAAGAACAAGTATCTTATAATTAGGCTAAAGCAGATTGAAAAGAACTATAGCTGTCATTGAATGCGCTATTCAAAAACACCGATAAGAAGTATCGCTAAAGTTGATGTATTGTTGCTACCAATCTGTAATCAGTAAAGTGCACAGAGGAATTTCTCTGCTTAATTCTCTCCAGTTCCCTTGCATAGCACTGAGATGCTTTCGTGAAAAAGACAAGTAGCTTAACTTACTCTTTCTTGCAAATCTCAGTCATAATTACAAAGATTATTTTAATTCATACTGTATAGCTTTAAAAGTAGAAACCTAATTTCTATATCTGGAATCCTGATCACATCTTCTTGATGTATTAAACAGTTATTTCAGCGATGCCTTATGAAGGTTTTACACATTGATTTGTGGAAATGTTACCTTTCCTATGTACGAGAAACCAAGGGGAAGCTACCTAGTTACAAGTAAGTTAACAGAGTTGCTCTGAATTATTCTAGTTTTGCGGTGAATCTCTTCTTGATTTTTGACTAGGGGATGGGGAGGAACCTGGGTGGCAAACCTGCCTGGAGATCTTCTGGTAGTGTGTTGGGGGAGTGTAATATATAATCTGCATTTAGAAAACATTTTCTTCAAAGTTTTTTTTAACTGAGCTTGCCAGGTAAAATTGCTTCCTTAGTCTGGATCCATATAACAAGATGGGACAAGAGTTGGGGAGTAGCTGGCATATCCGTGCCAGTCCCCTGCAGAGGAGGTTGGTGCTTGAGCCAATCTGAAACGCACTTCTTCTGCAGCCAGGACCCTCAGCTGTCCTTCCCCTTAGGGCTCTGGTTAGAGTCACCACAAAACTCAGCATTGATTCTGGCTGAGGTACTATATTTGACTAGCAATAGTAAATAGTTCAGTAATTAGAGAAAGTTTTGGAATGCATACAAAGGCATAAAAAATTCAGGGCATCGAAATTTTGGGTTGTATTAATCTTCATCCCTTTTCAGTTACTACATTTTGCTTGTTTATAGTCCTATGGGCTGAGTTTAATGCTTTTTCTACCTGTTTGAGGTTTCAAAAAAATATCAGTACCTTTCAGCATCTGTAAACTGTTTCTTTCCTAGCCCACCATAATTTCTTTGTACTATAACTGGCAAGGTAACTAATGCATTAACAGAAAAAAAAGCAGGGTTTTAAAATTTATTTTTACAAGACTGTTTAGAAACAATTTTAAAGGTATCAGCGTCTCCCTCCCCCTCTTTTTATCTACTTTAACTTTCCTCTATTTTTCCTGTTAATATGGTCAAGGAGGTAGTAAGGTACTGAAAGATGTTTGAGTAAATGAAACTGGGAGAGAAGTGGGAGAGAGGAAAAGCTGTTTTCATTGAAACTTGACCAAGAAAATATTCTGTGAACATCTTAAATTTGGGGAAAAATACTTTGAATTTGGAGAGATAAGAAATCACGTGAAAGATTTTGGCCAGTTTCCACGCAGGGGAACTACTCCTAATTGCCCTAGCCTTTTGGTGTTCCTGGAGAATTACAACAAGTTTTGGGGAATTCTGAGGGAAGATAAAGAAACCATGGGTACATCTGTCAGCTAAGAAGATGCAGAGAGCAATTGTTTTCTGTCTTCTCAACTTCACATAGTATACGTGGATTTCCAGTTACTTATGGGGGGAGGCGGGGCAGCTCAGAAACTGTTAGTATGCTAGGTTGCCACCAGTAGATTTAAATAATTTTCTTAAATAAAAAAAACAACCTAAATGCAGAATTTAAAGCTATCTGAACGTCAGTTTTTGCTCTCAGCTGTTGAATGATACTTTTCATACTTCAATGTTTGGTTAGAATTTGCTGCACAGAAGAATACTCTTAAATAAAGACTTTTTAAAATAGTAAACACTTGCTCTATGGTCTTTGTGGTTTGTTTTTTTCCTCAGAGAAAAAATGGCTCAGGCATATGATTTTGCTCTGGATAAGATTGGCATGGAAATCATGTCATACCAGGTATGTTTTTTTAATCAAAACATGTTTTATTTCTAACTTTATAACAAGTACAACTAAGCATTGGTTTCATTATTTGTAATATTTTTTCTCACATAGATCTGGGTGGATTACATCAATTTTTTGAAAGGCGTGTAAGTACCTTAAAAGAATTTTTTTAAGCTCAGTTAATGTAATGTTGATGTTCATACCAGTTATGATCTGTAATAGCTGACGTTAATCTCTCTCCCCACTATTTAGAGAAGCGGTAGGATCTTATGCAGAAAACCAGAGGATAACAGCTGTCCGTAGGGTTTACCAGCGTGGTTGCGTGAATCCAATGATAAACATAGAACAGCTCTGGAGAGATTATAACAAATACGAAGAGGTAATTAAGAACATGAAATGTGTTTGTGACATTAAGAAAGAAATAATAATCGTGTAATCAAGTGTGGTGCCCAAATTGTGTCCACTAAAAAATTATGTATAAAAGAGATGACCAGCAGTATAAACACATTTTGCGTCTGCAGTATGTACCAAGACCTGTGGCAAAACTCTATGGGTACCTGAGTGAATTTTTAAATTTATTTTAAAGATTTTCTATAGGATACATTTAACTGTCCCATTTCTCAGTTGGCCCAGTGGAATTGCTAGTGAATTAGAAATCACTGTCATCAGTGATGGAGAATATATTTAATGGAAGCTAGAACAGATCAGCTGGCAATGAGGGCTTGCTTCCCCAAGGAGGCACTCCTGTCCTTTCAGTTACAGTTGAACAGAGTAAGATGGCATTCTGCTATGATGGTTTGGACTTCCTTCACAGTATTAAGCTATATGGTCTCAAGTAGATATAAAATGCTCCTCACCATCCTTCGCCTGAAGCCATTACAGCATCAATTCAGGTGAGTCTGCTACCACACTGTCTTCAGCAAGCGTAACCTCAACATAATGGCCTTGCAGGCTAATTTGTAGCTGCAACTTTATAGTGTATTTGTAAACACATTTGATAACAGCTTGTTAACTTACCCCAGTCAGCAGAGGTGAGAATGCAGAACTGAGGGCAGATGCCCTCGTGCTCAGCACCATCAAGCAGGGATGCTCATACTGCACTCTCCCTTGTCCTGCCTGTTGCGCCCGCGGCTGCAGGTGCCGGCATGCTATGGGTCAGCTGTGCGCTGAGCAGGAAAGGAGGGACCATTTCTCTTTCCTTGTTGCTAATTATGCAAGCTGTAGGCTTGGTGACCTCTCTGTTAATAGGACCACTGTGCTTAGCCAGTGGGAGTACCTCCAGGGATCTGCAGCCACGAGTGTGTACTGTAACAGCTCATCACCCCGTCGGTATTCAGGGATACCACAGATAGCCTGCCGACCGCCAGGGAAGATACCCAGCGACATGCCTTCTCCTGCCTAGGAAAATCCCCAGTACAACTTCCCTGTAAACCTCCTCTTCCCCTCCCACGTAGCAAATGAAGGCTGTCGCTGCTGGTTCCTACTGCTTTCATTAATACGTAGGGAGACTGTCAAAACAATAGCTGAAACCTGTCCTACGTTCATTCTGTACCACCTTCTAGTTGAGGCAGCTCTGGCTGACACCTGTAACACAAACCAGTACCCAAGGCTGTTTGGAGGTGCTGGAAGCCGAGGGGCAGCACTCCGCTCAGACATGGGTTTCTGCACATCGTGTTCTGGCTAGGCTGGCCTTGAGGGACAGGGCTGCTGCGTACAAGTGTCCTGGCACCGGGAAGGAAATGCTCCTCACCAAAGAAGGGCTCTTTGAGGGGGAAGTGATGCCCTACATCAGTAGCCCAACACCACAGAGGTCATGTGCAGGTCTCAGTATGAAAGGTTACTGGCTATTTGCTGCAATTAAAACACTCTCAAGCTTCCCTTTAGCACAGTCTGTAGCCACCAGGTAAGAATATCAGCCTGTCAGTCGCCAGTATCTTTAATTAAAGAAATGGTCCAAAGTGGTAATGAGACAGAGAAGTGACAGTCTGTGGCTCACAGAGCCACAGGGCTGCACCTCACAAGGCTGGGAGTGCATCCCAGAAGAACATTGCTGTGTCCTCAGCCCGGTCCTGGGTTAAATGGGGCACTGCTGGTTTCATATGCTAGCTGTCCCAGATAGCTATCCCAGAGAGCACTCTGCGCGAGTCCAGGCAGTTCCTTGCTGCTGTAATGAGTCGATACCCAGCTCGGGTGCTTGTTTGGAATAGGACTGAAAGCTGTGCTCACCTTCCTCAAAGTCGGGGCAAGCCACGCCAGCAAAATCCACCGGGACACAGGTGTGAACAAAAGGGTGCTTGCCTGTCCTGCCGTAAGAGCAGTTCTTTGAGATTTTGTTCATGCCTGGGACCCCGTGACCAGGCCTGTGTGGCTGATGTTGAGATGTGGGTTGTGCCTGGGGGCCCGGCTGCCCCAACTGCCCTGCTCAGCAGCCCCCCGCACACATCCCCTCCAGTAGGACTGTCACTCTCAGTGGTGACAGGTCTCAGCTCTCGGGTGACAAAGGTATGCGTATGGCAGGGTGTATGTTGAATATAACCCCTTTTAAAAGCTGTCAGTTACTTCAGGAACAGAGAAGGCCGAGCTTTGAGCTTGGAGGTCAATCTCTGTTACTAGTCCAAGAAAACTGAATTGCTCGTGTGCTGTCTGTCTTCACCTGGTGAACAGCAAGCAGCAGCAATGCAGGCAGCTGTGACTCTGATGAGGCACTGACTATGATTTAAAAGGAAAAATGTAAATCGCAAATAGCATTCTTTCCACTTTCTCCCCCAGTAGGTTTATGTAAAGTTTGTTGTATCTTTGAAAGCACATAAGTGATTAAAAATATACTGAGGTGCTTCAGGTCAGTTGATTTTTAGTAGTGGGTTTACTTTCTGATAAATACGTTCTTGCCCATACATTTATTAGGAGAAATGCAGGACCTTTTGAGACCAGTATTTTTTAAAATAACTTTGTCCTTCTTGCTCACTTTTGCATCCCCTTTCAAGCTCTTTTCTGTGTGAAATGAGATTCAGTATGTCCAAAGTGAAATTGCACATTCCCACTTCCTTTTTTCACTCTTCTCCAGGGCATCAATATTCACTTAGCTAAGAAGATGATTGAAGACAGGAGTAGAGATTATATGAATGCACGACGTGTAGCAAAGGTACAGCCTTCTGATGACGTTTTTTTCTTCTATTTACTTCTACAAACTAGCAATAAACTTGGTTCTTATTTTCAAATAAAAATGTGTGTTAGACTGATAAGGTTGGTATGCTAAAATCTTTGTATCGGTTTTATAAAGCGTAACCTAAAATAAGCATTTAATGTGTTTAAATCTGCTGTTCAGAACATTGCTTCTGTTTCAGGAATATGAGACAGTGATGAAAGGTCTGGACCGCAATGCTCCCTCGGTCCCCCCCCAAAATACCCCACAAGAGGCTCAGCAGGTAGACATGTGGAAGAAATACATCCAGTGGGAAAAGAGCAATCCTCTGCGTACAGAAGATCAAACTCTCATAACAAAAAGAGGTAATTAGATATTGCTCTAGGACATGTAGAATTGTATTTTGTAGCTCCATTAATGACCTTCAGCAAAAGTTGTGATGCGATTTAGTGTTTAGGAATCATGCTGGAGCAGAAGTTGAACAAGTTTCTTGAATTGTGTGGGTGTTCTTTTTCAACTACTGCTTAGTTTTTCCTCAAGCCAAGCTGAAAGTAATACATGGGTTTTGGGGGACAGTACTATAGTCGTGTGCCACTGAACTTCCATTGGAGGTCAGGAAACGGCGGATCACTGTCTGATTTTTATGGCTGATGTTCTTGAATGAATTCCGCTTCTTCCTCTGTGGAGGTGGCAGATTTTAGCTACTGGTTATGATTCATAAAGTTCCTGGCAATATAAAGAACTGCAGTTGTGGTCGTTGTAACAGCAATGGGCTTTGAATAATATTGTCTGATTTATTTGCTGGTTTTTGTATTTCATGCTTCTGTTGTGCAAGATGGTACCACTTCTGCGATAACATACAAGGAGTATTTCTTACGTTTTTTTCCCCCCAGTTATGTTTGCCTATGAGCAATGCCTTTTGGTTCTGGGACATCACCCAGATATCTGGTATGAAGCTGCACAGTACCTCGAGCAATCTAGTAAACTGCTAGCTGAAAAAGGGGTAAGCAGATTGCCATTGGTTTTCTTTCTTATTTCATTGCTTTGATATGGTGTACCGTTGATTTTTCCTCAAATACTTAAGAACCAAGGAGGGGGGTGTGTGAAAAATACTTAGCACCGTAAGTTGTGTCATGTTCAGAATTTTAAAATGGGGGCTATTTTAAGAAATACAAATATTTGCATTTGAGATAAGAATTATGAAAAACTATTTCAGTGTCGGTCGGTTTTAGGTCTGAGGTTTGGGTTGTTTTGGCCTGATTTTGTGATTCCTTAAATACTGGGGAGATGATTATCTCTTTATCAGAGCACTGCGTGGAAGTTCACTGGAACTTTTCGCACACAGAAGATATTCCGTAGATTGGCTTTCATTGTCACAGATGCTGAACGATTATGTTATCATACTTATTTTATAACAGGACATGAACAATGCTAAACTTTTCAGTGATGAGGCTGCTAATATTTATGAAAGAGCGATCAGCACTTTATTAAAGAAGAATATGCTGCTTTATTTTGCATATGCAGATTATGAAGAGGTGAGCAAAAAATAGTGATGTACTGACGTTAAAAACCAAAGACATCTCCCATCAATAGTGTCATTTATTTGAAACGTACTGAATACACAGAATCCTATAAAATTAATTTATTGATTCTTCGAACCTTAACCTCATTCAGTGTTTCTGAGACTGAGCTAACAAAATGGAGAGGAAAAGCCCATAGTATGACTTATACAATTTTTGAAAATCTACTGTATTTCCACTTAAATATTGATTATATTTTTCAAATTACTATGAAATTGAAAGACTGATAGATTTACATTTACCAGAGCATCAGCTGCTTCACTTTTAAAATGGGGATCAAGAACACCTTTCCTACATAATTCTTGGGGGTTTAATGTTTGTATTTACATGGCTGTGGCGGAAGATGGGAGGCACCCTATCCTGCAGCTTTGTCGAGCAATCTCTTTACCCAGGCTACCACCTTATTGCACAGCCTCCGTAAG